GTCAGAGATTACTTTTCTAAGAGACATGGTGCATTATCGTTAGGAATTAGTCTCTAGTGGACAGGGGGAATTGCGGCACATAGTCAGCAACAATCCTCAAATAGGCTGTGGCATTCACGTGACGGTTGACTGGAATTAAAATGCCCACAGTGTTACAAGAAAACATTCCCCATGCCGTTAACCCCTAGACCGGCTTGGACTGTTGACAAAAACAGATGAGTCTATGGATTATGAATGTTGATGCCAATTCTGAGACTAGCATCTGTGTGCGCTTTGAAGATAGCGAAAATCATCAGTCATCAAAAACACAGCGTTCATTCCCCTTTTGGGCAGAACAGTGTTGATGAGCCTGAGCCCACTGCATCCGCAGCTTCTTGTTCTTGGCTGACAGAAGTAGAAACAACAAGAGGTTTGGTTAAAATCTGTTTTCCTCCTTTCTGGCCCTTGTCTGCATTGACATACCTTTAGCTGTGACTTGACTATAACTGACTTTAATTGCGTTACAACGGACTATACCTTACAAACCAGCAGCTATGATTTGGTGTTGAAGCAATGTGGGGGTATAGCTCAGTGGTAGAGCATTTGACTGCAGATCAAGAGGTCCCAGGTGCCCCCTGTTGGGCTTTCTTCACTTTAACTTTAAGTGATTTATACTCTATGTGCTGAATATGCAGCCGGACATGACCAATAGCATGTTTGTTGTTAAACAATTCAGTATTTATTCAGCGCCTTTGATTGAGAACATCAAGAAAGAACTCACTGCCATTTTCATGTCACCAGTCGGAGATTACTTTTCTAAGAGACATGGTGCATTATCGTTAGGAAGTAGTCTCTAGTGGATAGGGGGAATTGCGGCACATAGTCAGCAACAATCATGAAATAGGCTGTGGCATTCACGTGACGGTTGACTGGAATTAAAATGCCCACAGGGTTACAAGAAAACATTCCCCATCCAATTCTGAGACTAGCATCTGTGTGCGTTTTGAAGATAGCGAAAATCATCAGTCATCAAAAATTCAACGTTCATTCCCCTTTTGGGCAGAACAGTGTTGATGAGCCTGAGCCCACTGCCGCATCGCTTCTTGTTCTTGGCTGACAGAAGTAGAAACAACAAGAGGTTTGGTTAAAATCTGTTTTCCCCCTTTCTGGCCCTTGTCTGCATTGACATACGTTTAGCTGTGACTTGACTATAACTGACTTTAATTGCGTTACAACGGACTATACCTTACAAACCAGCAGCTATGACTTGATCAACGTGGGGGTATAGCTCAGTGGTAGAGCATTTGACTGCAGATCAAGAGGTCCCAGGTTCAACTCCAGGTGCCCCCTGTTGGGCTTTCTTCACTTTAAGTGATTTATACTCTATGTTCTGAATATGCAGCCGGACATGACCAATAGCATGTTTGTTGTTAAACAATTCAGTATTTATTCAGCCGCCTTTGATTGAGAACAGCAAGAAAGAACTCACTGCCATTTTCATGTCACCAGTCGGAGATTACTTTTCTAAGAGACATGGTGCATTATCGTTAGGAATTAGTCTCTAGTGGACAGGGGAATTGCGGCACATAGTCAGCAACAATCCTCAAATAGGCTGTGGCATTCACGTGACGGTTGACTGGAATTAAAATGCCCACAGTGTTACAAGAAAACATTCCCCATGCCGTTACACCCCTAGACCGGCTGGACTGTTGACACAAAACAGGATGAGTCTATGGATTGATGAATGTTGATGCCAATTCTGAGACTAGCATCTGTGTGCGTTTTGAAGATAGCGAAAATCATCAGTCATCAAAAATACAGCGTTCATTCCCCTTTTGGGCAGAACAGTGTTGATGAGCCTCAGCCCACTGCATCCGCAGCTTCTTGTTCTTGGCTGACAGAAGTAGAAACAAACCAAGAGGTTTGGTTAAAATCTGTTTTCCCCTTTCTGGCCCTTGTCTGCATTGACATACCTTTAGCTGTGACTTGACTATAACTGACTTTAATTGCGTTACAACGGACTATACCTTACAAACCAGCAGCTATGATTTGATGTTGAAGCAATTGTGGGGTATAGCTCAGTGGTAGAGCATTTGACTGCAGATCAAGAGGTCTTTAACCAGGTGCCCCGTTGGGCTTTCTTCATTTAACTTTAAGTGATTTATACTCTATGTGCTGAATATGCAGCCGGACATGACCAATAGCATGTTTGTTGTTAAACAATTCAGTATATTATTCAGGCCGTTTTTGATTGAGAACGCAGAAAGAAAACTCACTGCCATTTTCATGTCACCAGTCGGAGATTACTTTTCTAAGAGACATGGTGCATTATCGTTAGGAAGTAGTCTCTAGTGGATAGGGGGAATTGCGGCACATAGTCAGCAACAATCATGAAATAGGCTGTGGCATTCACGTGACGGTTGACTGGAATTAAAATGCCCACAGGGTTACAAGAAAACATTCCCCATGCGCGTCAATTCTTAAACCGGTTTTTTTTAAAAAAAAAAAAAAGTACTGAGACTAGCATCTGTGTGTGCGTTTTGAAGATAGCGAAAATCATCAGTCATCAAATATTCAACGTTCATTCCCCCTTTTTGGGCAGAACAGTGTTGATGAGCCTGAGCCCACTGCATCCGCAGCTTTTTGTTCTTGGCTGACAGAAGTAGAAACAACAAGAGGTTTGGTTAAAATCTGTTTTCCCCCTTTCTGGCCCTTGTCTGCATTGACATACCTTTAGCTGTGACTTGACTATAACTGACTTTAATTGCGTTACAACGGACTATACCTTACAAACCAGCAGCTATGATTTGATGTTGAAGCAATGTGGGGGTATAGCTCAGTGGTAGAGCATTTGACTGCAGATCAAGCCCAGGTCCCAGGTGCCCCTGTTGGGCTTTCTTCACTTTAATATTAATGATTTCATTCTATCTACAGATCATTTTGTTGTTAAACAATACAGTATTCACGCAGTATTCGGATTGAGAACATGAAGACGGCAGTTCTTTCTATGTTCATCAGCGGCGCTGAATAACAGCTGAACAGTACGAACATAAGAGCATACCGTTGCATAATTCAGCACATAGATATAAATCACGCAGTTAAAGTGAAGAAAGCCCAATAGGGCGGCACCTGGCGTTGAACCTGGGACCGCTTGATCTGCAGTCAATGCCCACCATGAGTCTATGGATTGAAAATATTCCCGATGCCAATTCTGAGACTAGCATCTGTGTGCGTTTTGAAGATAGCGAAAATCATCAGTCATCAAAAATGCAACGTTCATTCCCCTTTTTGGGCAGAACAGTGTTGATGAGCCTCAGCCCACTGCATCCGCAGCTTCTTGTTCTTGGCTGACAGAAGTAGAAACAACAAGAGGTTTGGTTAAAATCTGTTTTCCCCTTTTCTGCCCCTTGTCTGCATTGACATACCTTTAGCTGTGACTTGACTATAACTGACTTTAATTACGTTACAACGGACTATACCTTACAAACCAGCAGCTATGATTTGGTGTTGAAGCAATGTGGGGGTATAGCTCAGTGGTAGAGCATTTGACTGCAGATCAAGAGGCCCCAGTTAGACCCAGGTGCCCCCTGTTGGGCTTTCTTCACTTTAACTTTAAGTGATTTATACTCTATGTTGCTGAATATGCAGCCGGACATGACCAATAGCATGTTTGTTGTTAAACAATTCAGTATTTATTCAGCGCCTTTGATTGAGAACAGCAAGAAAGAACTCACTGCCATTTTCATGTCACCAGTCGGAGATTACTTTTTTAAGAGACATGGTGCATTATCGTTAGGAAGTAGTCTCTAGTGGATAGGGGGAATTGCGGCACATAGTCAGCAACAATCATGAAATAGGCTGTGGCATTCACGTGACGGTTGACTGGAATTAAAATGCCCACAGTGTTACAAGAAAACATTCCCCATCCGCCCCCTGCGCGAGGATGAGGTCCAATTCTGAGACTAGCATCTGTGTGCGTTTTGAAGATAGCGAAAATCATCAGTCATCAAAAATTCAACGTTCATTCCCCTTTTTGGGCAGAACAGTGTTGATGAGCCTGAGCCCACTGCATCCGCAGCTTTCTTGTTCTTGGCTGACAGAAGTAGAAACAACAAGAGGTTTGGTTAAAATCTGTTTTCCTCCTTTCTGGCCCTTGTCTGCATTGACATACCTTTAGCTGTGACTTGACTATAACTGACTTTAATTGCGTTACAACGGATTATACCTTACAAACCAGCAGCTATGATTTGCGTAATCAATGTGGGTGTATAGCTCAGTGGTAGAGCATTTGACTGCAGATCAAGAGGTCCCAGGTTCAACTCCAGGTGCCCCCTGTTGGGCTTTCTTCACTTTAAGTGATTTATACTCTATTAGCTGAATATGCAGCCGGGACATGACCAATAGCATGTTTGTTGTTAAACAATTCAGTATTTATTCAGCGCCTTTGATTGAGAACAGCAAGAAAGAACTCACTGCCATTTTCATGTCACCAGTCGGAGATTACTTTTCTTTAAGAGACATGGTGCATTATCGTTAGGAAGTAGTCTCTAGTGGATAGGGGGAATTGCGGCACATAGTCAGCAACAATCCTCAAATAGGCTGTGGCATTCACGTGACGGTTGACTGGAATTAAAATGCCCACAGTATTACAAGAAAACATTCCCCATGCCGTTACACCCCTAGACCGGCTTGGACTGTTGACACAAAACAGGATGAGTCTATGGATTGATGAATGTTGATGCCAATTCTGAGACTAGCATCTGTGTGCGTTTTGAAGATAGCGAAAATCATCAGTCATCAAAAATAGCCGTTCATTCCCCTTTTTGGCAGAACAGTGTTGATGAGCCTGAGCCCACTGCATCCGCAGCTTTTTGTTCTTGGCTGACAGAAGTAGAAACAACAAGAGGTTTGGTTAAAATCTGTTTTCCTCCTTTCTGGCCCTTGTCTGCATTGACATACCTTTAGCTGTGACTTGATTATAACTGACTTTAATTGCGTTACAACGGACTATACCTTACAAACCAGCAGCTAGCTCAGTGGTAGAGCATTTGACTGCAGATCAAGAGGTCCCAGGTTCAACTCCAGGTGCCCCCTGTTGGGCTTTCTTCACTTTAAGTGATTTATACTCTATGTGCTGAATATGCAGCCGGACATGACCAATAGCATGTTTGTTGTTAAACAATTCAGTATTTATTCAGTGCCTTTGATTGAGAACATCAAGAAAGAACTCACTGCCATTTTCATGTCACCAGTCGGAGATTACTTTTCTAAGAGACATGGTGCATTATCGTTAGGAAGTAGTCTCTAGTGGATAGGGGGAATTGCGGCACATAGTCAGCAACAATCCATCAAATAGGCTGCGGCATCCACGTGATGGTTGACTGGAATTAAATGGCCGCCCACAGGGTTACAAGAAAACATTCCCCATCCAATTCTGAGACTAGCATCTGTGTGCGTTTTGAAGATAGCGAAAATCATCAGTCATCAAAAATTCAACGTTCATTCCCCTTTTGGGCAGAACAGTGTTGATGAGCCTGAGCCCACTGCATCCGCAGCTTTTTGTTCTTGGCTGACAGAAGTAGAAACAACAAGAGGTTTGGTTAAAATCTGTTTTCCTCCTTTCTGGCCCTTGTCTGCATTGACATACCTTTAGCTGTGACTTGACTATAACTGACTTTAATTGCGTTACAACGAATACCTTACAAACCAGCAGCTATGATTTGATGTTGAAGCAATGTGGGGTATAGCTCAGTGGTAGAGCATTTGACTGGCAGATCAAGAGGTCCCAGGTTCAACTCCGGGGCCCCCTGTTGGGCTTTCTTCACTTTAAGTGATTTATACTCTATGTGCTGAATATGCAGCCGACATGACCAATAGCATGTTTGTTGTTAAACAATTCAGTATTTATTCAGTGCCTTTGATTGAGAACAGCAAGAAAGAACTCACTGCCATTTTCATGTCACCAGTCGGAGATTACTTTTCTAAGAGACATGGTGCATTATCGTTAGGAAGTAGTCTCTAGTGGATAGGGGGAATTGCGGCACATAGTCAGCAACAATCCTCAAATAGGCTGCGGCATCCACGTGATGGTTGACTGGAATTAAAATGCCCACAGGGTTACAAGAAAACATTCCCCATGCCAATTAAAACTGAGACTAGCATCTGTGTGCGTTTTGAAGATAGCGAAAATCATCAGTCATCAAAAAAATTCAACGTTCATTCCCCCCTTTTGGGCAGAACAGTGTTGATGAGCCTGAGCCCACTGCATCCGCAGCTTCTTGTTCTTGGCTGACAGAAGTAGAAACAACAAGATGTTTGGTTAAAATCTGTTTTCCCCCTTTCTGGCCCTTGTCTGCATTGACATACCTTTAGCTGTGACTTGACTATAACTGACTTTAATTGCGTTACAACGGACTATACCTTACAAACCAGCAGCTATGATTTGATGTTGAAGCAATGTGGGGGTATAGCTCAGTGGTAGAGCATTTGACTGCAGATCAAGAGGTCCCAGGTTCAACTCCAGGTGCCCCCTGTTGGGCTTTCTTCACTTTAAGTGATTTATACTCTATGTGCTGAATATTCAGTCGAGCGGACATGACCAATAGCATGTTTGTTGTTAAACAATTCAGTATTTATTCAGTGCCTTTGATTGAGAACATCAAGAAAGAACTCACTGCCATTTTCATGTCACCAGTCGGAGATTACTTTTCTAAGAGACATGGTGCATTATCGTTAGGAAGTAGTCTCTAGTGGATAGGGGGAATTGCGGCACATAGTCAGCAACAATCATGCAATAGGCTGTGGCATTCACGTGACGGTTGACTGGAATTAAAATGCCCACAGGGTTACAAGAAAACATTCCCCATACACCCCCAAAAAGAATTAAAAAAAAAAAAAAAAAAATAAATTATAAAAAAACTAATTATGAGACTAGCAACTGTGTGCGTTTTGAAGATAGCGAAAATCATCAGTCATCAAAAATGCAACGTTCATTCCCCTTTTGGGCAGAACAGTGTTGATGAGCCTCAGCCCACTGCATCCGCAGCTTCTTGTTCTTGGCTGACAGAAGTAGAAACAACAAGAGGTTTGGTTAAAATCTGTTTTCCCCCTTTCTGGCCCTTGTCTGCATTGACATACCTTTAGCTGTGACTTGACTATAACTGACTTTAATTGCGTTACAACGGACTATACCTTACAAACCAGCAGCTATGATTTGGTGTTGAAGCAATGTGGAGGTATAGCTCAGTGGTAGAGCATTTGACTGCAGATCAAGAGGTCCCAGGTGCCCCCTGTTGGGCTTTCTTCACTTTAACTTTAAGTGATTTATACTCTATGTGCTGAATATGCAGCCGGACATGACCAATAGCATGTTTGTTGTTAAACAATTCAGTATTTATTCAGCGCCTTTGATTGAGAATGGCAAGAAAGAACTCACTGCCATTTTCATGTCACCAGTCGGAGATTACTTTTCTAAGAGACATGGTGCATTATCGTTAGGAAGTAGTCTCTAGTGGATAGGGGGAATTGCGGCACATAGTCAGCAACAATCCTCAAATAGGCTGCGGCATCCACGTGATGGTTGACTGGAATTAACATGCCCACAGTGTTACAAGAAAACATTCCCCATCTAATTATGAGACTAGCAAATGTGTGCGTTTTGAAGATAGCGAAAATCATCAGTCATCAAAAATGCAACGTTCATTCCCCTTTTGGGCAGAACAGTGTTGATGAGCCTCAGCCCACTGCATCCGCAGCTTCTTGTTCTTGGCTGACAGAAGTAGAAACAACAAGAGGTTTGGTTAAAATCTGTTTTCCCCCTTTCTGGCCCTTGTCTGCATTGACATACCTTTAGCTGTGACTTGACTATAACTGACTTTAATTGCGTTACAACGGATTATACCTTACAATCCAGCAGCTATGATTTGATCAACGTGGGGGTATAGCTCAGTGGTAGAGCATTTGACTGCAGATCAAGAGGTCCCAGGTTCAACTCCAGGTGCCCCTGTTGGGCTTTCTTCACTTTTAAGTGATTTATACTCTATGTGCTGAATATGCAGCCGGACATGACCAATAGCATGTTTGTTGTTAAACAATTCAGTATTTATTCAGCGCCTTTGATTGAGAACAGCAAGAAAGAACTCACTGCCATTTTCATGTCACCAGTCGGAGATTACTTTTCTAAGAGACATGGTGCATTATCGTTAGGAAGTAGTCTCTAGTGGACAGGGGGAATTGCGGCACATAGTCAGCAACAATCCTCAAATAGGCTGTGGCATTCCGCGCGACGGTTGACTGGAATTAAAATGCCCACAGTATTACAAGAAAACATTCCCCATGCGTTACAACCCCTAGTCCGGCTTGGACTGTTGACACAAAACAGGATGAGTCTATGGATTGATGAATGTTGATGCCAATTCTGAGACTAGCATCTGTGTCGCGTTTGAAGATAGCGAAAATCATCAGTCATCAAAGTACAGCGTTCATTCCCCTTTTTGGGCAGAACAGTGTTGATGAGCCTGAGCCCACTCGCGCCGCAGCTCTTGTTCTTGGCTGACAGAAGTAGAAACAACAAGAGGTTTGGTTAAAATCTGTTTTCCCCCTTTCTGGCCCTTGTCTGCATTGACATACCTTTAGCTGTGACTTGACTATAACTGACTTTAATTGCGTTACAACGGACTATACCTTACAAACCAGCAGCTATGATTTGATGTTGAAGCAATGTGGGGGTATAGCTCAGTGGTAGAGCATTTGACTGCAGATCAAGAGGTCCCAGGTTCAACTCCAGGTGCCCCCTGTTGGGCTTTCTTCACTTTAAGTGATTTATACTCTATGTGCTGAATATGCAGCCGGACATGACCAATAGCATGTTTGTTGTTAAACAATTCAGTATTTATTCAGCGCCTTTGATTGAGAATGGCAAGAAAGAACTCACTGCCATTTTCATGTCACCAGTCGGAGATTACTTTTCTAAGAGACATGGTGCATTATCGTTAGGAAGTAGTCTCTAGTGGATAGGGGGAATTGCGGCACATAGTCAGCAACAATCATGAAATAGGCTGTGGCATTCACGTGACGGTTGACTGGAATTAAAATGCCCACAGGGTTACAAGAAAACATTCCCCACCCGTTAACCCCTAGACCGGCTTGGACTGTTGACACAAAACAGGATGAGGCTACGGATTCGAATGTTGATGCCAATTCTGAGACTAGCATCTGTGTGCGTTTTGAAGATAGCGAAAATCATCAGTCATCAAATATTCAACGTTCATTCCCCTTTTGGGCAGAACAGTGTTGATGAGCCTGAGCCCACTGCATCCGCAGCTTCTTGTTCTTGGCTGACAGAAGTAGAAACAACAAGAGGTTTGGTTAAAATCTGTTTTCCTCCTTTCTGGCCCTTGTCTGCATTGACATACCTTTAGCTGTGACTTGACTATAACTGACTTTAATTGCGTTACAACGGACTATACCTTACAAACCAGCAGCTATGATTTGATGTTGAAGCAATGTGGGGGTATAGCTCAGTGGTAGAGCATTTGACTGCAGATCAAGAGGTCCCAGGTGCCCCTGTTGGGCTTTCTTCACTTTAACTTTAAGTGATTTATACTCTATGTGCTGAATATGCAGCCGGACATGACCAATAGCATGTTTGTTGTTAAACAATTCAGTATTTATTCAGCGCCTTTGATTGAGAACAGCAAGAAAGAACTCACTGCCATTTTCATGTCACCAGTCGGAGATTACTTTTCTAAGAGACATGGTGCATTATCGTTAGGAAGTAGTCTCTAGTGGATAGGGGGAATTGCGGCACATAGTCAGCAACAATCCTCAAACAGGCTGCGGCATCCACGTGATGGTTGACTGGAATTAACATGCCCACAATGTTACAAGAAAACATTCCCCATCCAATTCTGAGACTAGCATCTGTGTGCGTTTTGAAGATAGCGAAAATCATCAGTCATCAAAAATTCAACGTTCATTCCCCTTTTGGGCAGAACAGTGTTGATGAGCCTGAGCCCACTGCATCCGCAGCTTCTTGTTCTTGGCTGACAGAAGTAGAAACAACAAGAGGTTTGGTTAAAATCTGTTTTCCTCCTTTCTGG